GGGGGGGGGGGGGGGGGAGCATATCTTCGTTTCATTTACCTTGACAGTAGGGTGCAAGGTAAATCCAGTTCTACCACAGTCCATAAAAAATATTGGCGTTTTTACCAAGGTCCATCGGTAACATTGCCATCTCACTATTATTGGTAATTTTACAGAGACAGAATGATGAGATTACCAATAGAACCTTATTTTATCAACCGTATTTCAGGTATGAAATAAAATACAGAGGAGGGAAAATAAAAAAAAAATTCCAATGAAAACTCGGTGTCAGTCTACGCAATGACAAAAGTTGTAATGTTGCGAAGCGCCGATCCATCTAAGAGGCTTCAATTCGCACTCATTAACCACGTAGTGGCCATAGCCTAGTGGCAATGCCACCGCTGCGACTCGGGTTCGAATCCCTGCGGAGGCTCCGGGGATTTTACGCTCGTCTTCGTCAAAGGACCTGACGGCTGAACCTGACGGAAGTCGGCTGACAGCGCCGACCCCATTTTTTTGGCGATTTTATCGGTGATAAAATCGCTAGGATCATCAACATCTGAGCGATTATATTCGATCTTATCGCGATAAAATCGCAATAACATCGCGAAAAGATCGAGGATAATCGCTCAGATGTTGATGATCCTAGAGATTTTATCGCAAAAAATCGCAATTTAATTTCGGAATATCGCGATTTTTCCGTTGAAAAATGCTACTTGGGAGGCCGATTATCATGATTTTTGCACCATGGAAGATAGTCCCTGGATAGTTCTGCTCTATTTAGATTAAGTCACAAGGGCCCGCAAAGAGGGCCTCAGAGGGGGGTCAGGCCATGTAGCAGCCAGGGATTATAGCTAGTCTCCCAGTAAAAATGTATTAAGAACCGGTTAATTTGGAAGACCTCTCTCCTAAACAAATTGTTGAAAAATATTAACCTATAAGACTCAGAACGCCAGGCCAATAGGCCTCAAGAGATTGGAAAACTGGCATTGTAACTTGTCCTTTCATCATAGATACCCAGAGATACCAGTCGTCTTTTTTCAGGTAGGAGTCGATGGCAGGCTTGGTTTCATGAAACATTTCCATGAGCTCCGGCCTTTGAAGAAGTATTGCTCCTTTCACAAGATATTCAAAATATGAGTCTACACCTGCGCCGATTCCGGAGTCTTGAGCTGTCCATCGCCCATTGGTAACATCTAAATGATTCCCATAAAGGCCGATGGGTGAGCGAAAATTCCTAAGAGCATGTAAAGCTCTTAATGCAGTCTAGAAACACAAATCAAACCCAAAAAAGTTTTAGATAAAGTGAGAGTTGGGGAAAAATGTTACTATCTAAACACACATTGAAAGAGGTGCAGAGATAGATGAATTATTTGGTTCGAAGCAAACTTTAGAGATGGTCACAAAAGTAAGTGAACTGATGCTGCCGTTTCTGAAGTACCAATAACGAAAAGAAGACACGATCTTGGTCTGATTTCAAGGATCTAATCTTCAGTAGGTGAGTTTAAATCTTCATTTTCCATACCCTGCTGACCATTCTTTCATGGTCAACAGGATATAGGGTCATTCCACGTCAACTGTGCCAGGCTCGGAACCCGACCCCCTCCGATTTGGCTGAAAATTGGTATACGGGGTCTTTACATCATTATAAGAACCTAATTTGAAGGGTTTTCCCATCCGACGCCCCGTTCGCGAGATATCGACCCCCAAAGATGGGGTGAATTTTAGCGATATTCAAAAACGCCCGTTTTAGCGATTCTCATTTTCTCGACTTCCCTCTCTTTAACTCTCCATAGCGAGACTCTGTATCAATCCATCATACTTTGAAAGAGTGTTTCTAGACCAGTTTTTCATGTAGATTCTGAATATGCCATCGAAATTTAGCTAAAAATTATTCTAATGGCCGTAATTTAGGGTTTTTTAAAATTTACGATTTTTTCGCCATTCAATGTTCAAACTCAATTATCTAAAAAACAGTCACTCCGATTTTCGATTTTTTTTTTATACTTCAAGCTTAGGATATATACTTTTGGTTGATATACTTTTTTCGATAGTAATCGGACGGTTAAGGGCCTAAAAAAATTCAAATAGGCCAAAAAAGGTCAAAAATTGGTAAAAAAGGACGATTTTTCACATGTTAATCCACATATTTCGATAATGAACTCTTCAATTGTCGATATTTTTTCCCACTTTACCCTCTATCATGTATAAAATCAGACTGTCAACGCTTTCCATACATGCACCGATCGATTAACGGCCTGATGGAAACCGGAAACCGACCGAAAATCCTCGAAATTGACGCAAAAAGACGATTTTTCACACCGTAACCTATGCATTCCATGGATTGTAACTGCAATTTCCAATTTTCTCTCTCTATTTCAATCTTAAGGTGTATACTTTCGAGTAATAAACCCTTACTAACGTGCATCGATGGGACACGGAACCATACGGAAATGAAAACCGGCCGGAAATGCTCAAAAATGACGGGCGAAGGCGATTTATT